CCCAAATGACAACAATGTCCAGGACTGAGCCAAAGCCCAGAGCCAGACCTCCAGGCATGTCTCTCAATGGGTACCACAGTCCCAAACACACAGGCCATCATCTTCTGGCTTCCCTGGAACATCCGCAGAGAGCTGGGTCAGAAGCTGGAGCAGAAGCAGAGCATCTGGACTTGAACTGGGATTGCCAGCATTGCAAGAGGGACTGTTAACCCACTGCACCCTAGTGCCGGTCCCTACACTTCTTTTCTTAGGTCTTGAATGTTAAGACAAAATGTCTACTTCTTACATAGTTCTTTGAAATTTCTTTCTTTCAGCTGGGCTGGATTTGAAATGTGTGCGGGGGCTCCAAGAAGGAGGGTGAACTGTTTTAAAAACTTGTGCTTTAAGCGGAGTTACAGTTTTGGGGAAACAAAAATTCCATACCTCCAAACATCATTGCAGGACTGCCTTGGAGTTGGGCTGGTGGTTGCAAATAATTTACGTGCCATCCTTTGGGAGCTGGTGGCTGTTGCGGGAAGCTGGACCCTGGGCTTGGCATGTCTGATGCGGGAGTCAGCTTTTTGTCTCTCTCTATGTCTCAGAAACTCTTGCTTAGCTCAACAGCACATTTGTACACATCAGAGACGGTGAGTGCAGTCTCCCGAGTTGTCGGAGCCATGCAAATGGCTCCAGGGAATCTGCATTTCAGAATGCTAGTACTTTATGATTTCATAGCCAAAAGATCACCTAAGATTACTGGAAAACTTTATTGTTCACTTTTAGGTAGTTTTGTATTCTGCTTAGAAATACATTTTTAGTTTTATTAGAACACTTACTAGCAATGGTGCTAATTATTTTATATATGACCATGGAAATGGGCTGTGTCAGCTTGAAAAGACTGGTTTTTTTTTAACAGAATTTGGTTTTAAAGACAGATTTTATAGACATTATAGTCATACTATTGTTATCTAATTAGCATCTACCATTTAATATACATGATACTAGGGAGACGAGTGTACTTAAAATTATAAATTGTGAGCTTTTATGAGTTATTTTTTTATCACGAGTTTTATACAGTCGTCATTACTTAATGAGAAATGTGGCCTTAGACATTACATCATGTGAAGACCAGGAGTCAAAAAAAAAAAAAAAAGCCCAGAAAACCTGCAGATCAATTTTTGATTCTCATAAAGTTTGACTGTGAGGCATTTCTGAGCACATGTCATGACTATGAGTCATGGTTTTCACACCAAACCTGACCTGTTCTGATTATGTTTCAACTTCAAGGGGTTTTCAGTATTTAAATTCTAAACCTAATTCTAAGGTTTCAAAATGATTCACATTCAACTCAACTTTTATGTTTTATAATTAAACAAGAAAATATTGCTTATATCTACATTTTTACTATTCTTGGACATATTATAATTATTCCTTTAATTTCACCAATAAAATACCCCCATTTCTTCATTAGTAAATTACAAGGCTATCTCAATTTAAAAAAAAAAAATCAGTCTGAGTGTGGCTTGACGTCTCAAATAGTCATTTCAGTTTAGAATTTTCTCACTTCTTTCATTAGCTGTTTTTGTAAAAGGTGAAGATACTTTCTAGGTAAATTCCTTCCAAGTGGCAAAATAACTTCCTTTTGGGGAAGAGTTATTGGAGTTTTATTCTTTATAATCTTAAATACCACTTATGTTAGAGTGAACAATGCATGAAAAAATTACACTAGTTGAAAAAAAAAAAAAGGAAGATTACCACCTAGGCCAAGTATGTTGCAATTAAATGTTCACGGAAAAGTGAACTTTCTGCTGGGAAAAGCATGCTACGTATGCCCATGAAATTTCCAAAGTTTAAGTATTTTTGTAAATTAGGTTGTTCCTAGTTAAACAGGTGGCTTTAAAGGCTGGTTTCAGTGTTGTTTTAATCATAGTTTAGTTACCATGGAGAAATATGCAAGTTAGCATTTATACACAGAAGTGAAATTTATGCTGCATAGATAATAGCCTAAATTTAGCTTGACTTAAGTTTACCACTTCCTTTTTTTTTTTAACAAAAAAGAATAATAATATATCACATATATCCATTAACAAGTTAATTTCTTTGAACTCCATTGTTTTATTTTCAGAGAATTTCTTTGCTTAAATGTCACCAGACATTTCTGTCAGTGTGACCTCCTCCAGTGGTGACTGCAGTGTCCCATACTGCAGCTGATTTACTCTGACGGTGTTACCTGGAGGTTTCAGAAGGACTTTGCCGAGTTTAGCCTGTTGTGTCGTGTTTTCAGAAAAGTAATATTTGCACACAATGTATGTGGTTGGATTTTTGAAAAGGGCCATAGATCTTCAGCAAATGTCTGGTGCTAATAGGAGCCACCCGATTTCAAAACACAGCAGTGGTTTAGATTATCGTTTGAATGGTGTTTTCTAAAGGAAATTCCAAGACAGGTTGTCCTAATAAACCGCTCTGAGCTTTGTATCCTCATAGCTTGGTAATGCATTGTTCGCCCTGAATTAAGATACTCTTGTGTGTAAAATTCAGCTACCCCGGGCTGCTTTTCCTGCCATTTGCTGTGCCCAGTACCTTTGAGCGAACGCTAAGTTTTCAAGGACAAATGTAGTAAAAGTGCCCTGATCCAACATGAGGTCCCCCAGCGCAGAGAGAGAGAGCAGCAGATCCCTTTCAACACCAGCTGTTCTCACAGATATAGATTGCTGCAGTGAAATTTTCTTAATATAATTCAGGAAGCTCTAGAGAATTCTCCAAAACAACTGTGCCAACAAGGAAAATGTTGAATTTTTCATCAGCTGCCCAATGCTGAGAGTTAGTGGGCAATCCGTTCATTCATGACCAGATGTTCAGTGTAGTAACGCTCTGCAGTTAACTTGAACCTTGTGGCCTGTTTACCATTGGCTGCAAGGACATTGGCAGCAACCTGGCATTGGAGAATTGAGGCCTGCACAAGCCAAATGACCGAGGTGTGTGTCTGTGGCTTCCTGGTTTTTGCCAGCGACCAGACAAGGTGGGGAGTGATGAAAGAAAGAAATGAGATCACATCAATCATTGTGGAGACTGGGAGAAGTTACTGTATGATTGTGTCTTGGGGGACCAGTAGGCCAATGCTTATATTCATATTTATTTGGGAACAAAGGCAGTCTTTGTTTAGTTGGACAGATTTTCCAACCTCTGTCTAAATCATAACACTTTTTGTGGTGAGGGCAGTAGGTGTGGGTGGTTAAGACCATAAGAAGAAGGTTTCTAATTTTAAACTAGAGGAAATCAATAAAGTTGTCTCTTAATATTGAAACTCTACTGGGTCTAACCTACAATTGGAAATATGTGATATTTTTGCTTTAGGCAAACTTTTATTATTATAGGTGGAGCAAATTTAAATCTTCCATTCACAGAAATTCACTATTTCCTTTATGTGCGTGTTTTGAGTCCATGACATTTTTGTGAACTGTTTTACTAAGTAGTAAGTATTCAGGGCTAGGGAAAAACTTGGAGGGAATGGGTATTTGGGGCGGGGGGCGGGCGGAGAGTCATTTGACTTTCTACACTGAAGCCAAGACTCTTGTTTAACCTAACTGGCAGTGCTTGATTCAGGATGTGCAGCAGGCTAGGCATGAGGAGGCAGTGTTTGTTAACAGGAAACCTATCTCAGACGAGGTGCCCTTCCCTCCAGGATGGAGCTGCCTGCTATATTCTCACGTCTTTTTATCTCAAGGTAGCATGGCTAAAGGAAATTTAAACATCTTTCTTACTCATTCATTTTTAACTGATGAATTAAACGGTAGCGTCCCAGCAAGATGTTGGCCTCTGTTTTCTTGAAAGCCAGACAGAATGGCATCAGAGTGTGCCTTCGGCTTTTGGGGGCCTGAGTGGGTGGGTGTCTCCTGCTATTGAATTCTGGACTCCCCCTGATCCCACGGACACCCATCCCAAGAAACCAGGGTCACTTGGAAGGTATGTCGAGCAGAACCCTTACAGTAATGATATTTGCGTTGGCAGAGCTTTCTGCCTTCGAGTTAGTTGCAGGGAACACTTCCTTAGCATTCCTGCTGACGGAGAAGCTGTGTGGCATTGAGATATGGAAATTCCTCACAACTCCATTTAAACGTGAACTTGACCGGCCCTGAGACGAGCACAAATGTAGGTCATTGGACTGGGTGATCTTCTGAAGAGTCCTTGGGCTTGTTGACTAGGGAAAGGGCGATTTCGAATTGCAGCAGGTCCCAACTTTGGCCTGCTAGGACGCCAGGTGAAGACGTTGCATTGTTTTTCTGGATGCTAACTCGCTGACAGAAAAATCGAGAAGCAGTTTACAGTAGCTCTGACATGACTGTTACCTTTCTGCAGCCCTCTCCAGCTGCTCGGAGCCCTTCCATGCCTTCGCCATGCACACAGTTTGTTCTTGGGTGTGAAAGCAAACAGTATTTGAGTTGGCAGCGCCTGCTCTTTCAGTGTGGAGTTTGCTGCCTCGGCAAGAAACCGCAGTGTGAGCTTTGTGCCGCAGCACGTTGCCACTGGCGGGATGGCCTTTCCCCACATTTCCTTGGTTTAAGGAAACAGATTTTTGAACTTTCTTTTTTTCTTTTTTTTTTTTCTTTGTTGACAACAAAATGCTAACATTGAACAGCTGGAGTTAGTGTATCATTTCTGCTTTTCACTTTATGTTCTTATGGAGGTTCAGAAATTAAAAATCCGTAATTATTTGTTGAATTATGCAAGTTCCCCCCCCCCCCGAAAAAATGTGCTTAAAAAATATTCCTTCTATCCTGAGGAATTCGAGAACACCATTGTTACCCCAAGTAGGTATTCACAGTTTTGCGTCTCTATTAGTTTTCATTGTTACAGCTTAATCAATACGACGTGACATTTCTGCAAAGGTGTTTGAAAATCCACTGTTTTTCTTTTGAGGAACAAGTAAGAGTTGGTTCATTTGAAACACTTCAGTTTCTTTAAAAAAAAAAATTTACTCATTTATTTGTTGTTTTAACATCAGCATATTCATCCTCACTGGAGGTAACCTTTGCTGTCACAGACTCTGTGGTAGCCAAGCAGCCTCACAGCTGCCATCAAGGTGATGGCCTTTGCCAAGGGGACCCCTCTGCCTGCTGTGCAGCTAGTGCAGGCCTCTGTTCGCCACAGAACCTGCCTGGTGGGCTACCTTCCGCGTCCCCACCTTTCCCTTGGGTGAAACTGCATCCACACCCTGCCGAGTCAGCCTCTCGGTTCCTCCCTGGCTGGCGTTGACACTGCAGCCGAAGCGGGTGGGAGATGTGCAGTCATCCGGTCCGACGGGATGGTCCGTGCACGGGCAGTGTTTCTGCCGTCCACTGAGATGGGATTTTTGTTGCTGCTTTGCGAAGTGTCTGTCAGAGGCAAAGATTCTGAGAACATTGACAGTGCCCTCCCCCAAAGCCACACCTTGCATTACGGAAAAGTAGCTCTCACAGGGTTGTTTTCCTGATTTCTCAGAAAATAAAATGGGAAGTGAAAAGGCCAGTGTGCTCACTATAGTGTGTGACTGTAAAGCTCATTCGATCTGCAAGTGAGATTTAGGGTCAGAACATTAGCTGTGATGATTAACAGGGGACAGAATTTTTCTTTTCTTTTCAAGGATGGTGGCAGTTAATCATTTTTATCTGCCCGCCTTGTAGACTTGATGAGATTTATTATGTATGCTGCATGTTTATGGCATTTTTATTGTATGTTGTTAATTTGTTGTAACTGCCACCACATTTTTTTTTTCTTCTTCTTCCTTTTTTCTCCCACGAGGACCCTTGAAAGCAGCTAAGCATCAACTGTGACTTTTTGCTTTAGGAAACTTCATTTAATTTTTAATGATAATAACAAGTAGAATCGTCTGCAAGTTGTGAGCAGCGCCGGTGCTGCCGTGCGCGCCTCACCTCAGCTGTCAGGAGGACTTGCAGGCACGCTGGTTTGGGTGCTCGTGTTTTCTGTTGATGATCAAGTGAGGCTTGTTTGGGTGGACTTAGAGAATACACACTTATGAAAACACTTCACCTGAAACCTAGAGGCACAAGCTGCTGAAAGCGCACTAAACTATCATTTTCTTCATCCGTGGAAAGTCATATCTGGAGTTTCTGAATCACTGTTAGGTAAGACAATTGGGCCCGTTAGCATTTAAGCTGTTTAACAAGTCACACCGTTGAATGATGCATTTTAGAACATCTTTTTTAGTTTCCCAGTTCTCAAAATGGCTATGGAAGCTGTTAAATGTAGAGGACATTCTTTAAAATAAGGCCAGCAGTTAAAATTGGGAAACCAGAGGACTGGATTGGCAATGATTTACGATGAGTCCACAGGACATTAAAAAAGTCAAGTTAGCAAAGGAAATGCGCTGGCTGCATGAGAGCTGGGAGTTTTTACTTTGCCTCCCTCCTGAGTTGGCTGGCTATAGGGGCAACTCAGAGAGGCAGACTTGCTGGGAAAATTGACAGAACTTTTCTTTTTATTGTATGTTCTGGCATTGGCAGGGCCTTGGCACCGCGGCCCTTGACTATAACCAAGGCAGTTTCTTGTTTTGACAGTGACAAACTTTTTCAGTAACAGAGACCCACCCATTCTCTTCGGAGCAGTAGACATGGAAATAAATAGAAGCTGGATGGAAGAGCGACTCTGTTGTTGCCATGCAGCGTGAACATATGGGTCCTTAATCAATACCGCTTAAAGATGACACATGGGTGTGGCTATTGAGTCTATAATGTGTCATCGTCACAAATGCATGCATCACTTTCCAGAACTGCTGTGCATTTGTTCACACTATGCCCTAAGACGTTTCTCAGCTTTTGCAGAATAAACAGTGTGAGTCCACTGAGGTGGTTGATAGGCGCCATGAAGTCATTGAGGTGTCAAGCAGCCTCACGGTACTCAGATTGGCTCTTTCATGCATCTAAAACCCTTATGTCTAATAAGAAAAGGCAAATCCAGTTGTTGATGTTTTAGATGCAAAATCGTGAGTTGCACTGATGGTATCAATACTGGTAATACACAGAGGGGATATGTTTACCACTAAGGGGCAAGGATAACGGACATAGAGTTACGAATCCAGTTCTCCGCTCTGGTTCTGTATCCCCCTGCGTGTAGGGTACCACCACCTGATTCCCTCCTCGCCCTCACCTGCTCACCACATACACAGCCGTGGTTTCGTAGGCAACATTGAGAAAATAAAAATTTATACTCAAATCCTGTCCTGGGAAGTATGGTGTGGAGAGAAGAGAGATGCTTCTTCACTCCTCTGGAAGATTTAAGCAGCAGCTTGTGGAAATGGAGACGTTAGATACTTGAGTTAGGGGGTGGAGATGGTTTTCTAGCTCATGGCAACACAGTGAATAAGCAACAAAGAGCGCAAAGCTTGGTCCTTGAGGGGAACAAAGAACCCTGTGGCTGTTCACAGAACCCATGAAAAGGATGAGGGAAAGTGCACTGGAAAGGAAGCTGACCCACGGCCGGCGGGGAGTGGACCTCCCTGTCAGCTTCAGAAGTAAGGGATTTATCCAGCAACATTAATTATTGATAATAACAGCGGACAGTATTTGCTGTGGGCAAGGCAGCAGGCCTAGTGGTTGACCATTCATCATCTATATTTTCACTCTGAGAAGCATGCAAGTGGGTATTATTTTTAGCCAGATATAATAATACAGATGCGGAAAGTGAGTCTTTGTGAAATCGTCTGGTCTTACCACGGGCATCTAGTGGGGAGGATCAGAGGCTGAGACCCTAGGGCCAGCCTCTCACTGCCAGTGGGCAACACTGGGTCAGCCGGGGTTTCTTGGGACACAGGAGGCTCCGGTTAGCACTGCCCTGGGGGATAATTCATCGCTCATCTTTTATTTTAGAAATATAGTGATAAGCACACCGGAGGACATTAGGATGTTTCTGAGAGCTCCAGGCTGCTGCCGGAAGGTACTCGAGGAGAGGTGATGATGGAGGGGTCCAAAAATCCTGAAGGTTTCAGGCTGGACCTGGTTTGAGAGACACCAACAGTTGGAGGATTGGGTCAGTGTTTTTAGCAATTGCTGCCAGAAGAGGAAAGAGAGCAGGCTGCAAAACGATGAGGTGCAGGCATTCATTTCAGGCAGTCTTTCTGGAAAATGAGGAAATAGATGTTGGACAGGAGGTAAGGAAGAGCATCAGGCTTTGGAGATGCGCAGGTGGTGGCACATGAACCAGTAGAGCAGGATAAGACCGGAACCACAAGTGAGGAGGGCGAGAAGACAGGATGGCTGGAGAGGGAGACCAGGATATAAATCAGCCTTGTAGATCCAGAAAAATCTCTGTGCACATTGAAGAAGACAGATTTGTAGGCCATGCTTCAGACACATACCTATACATATTCATATTTGTATACATATTCATGTACATATTTATATATGTTTCCCTATATACATTCATATGTATCACTGTGTGTATTTGTATATGGATCTTATTCATGAGCATGCGCTGTCCTCTTAAGCTCACATATGTATTCTTGGGAGCCTTTCCCACCTCGGGGAACGAGTGGGGAGAGCAGGGTAGGGTGGGCGGCAGTGTCTCCTGCGAGCAGGCGCCGGGGAAGGATCGGAGAGCCCTGTGTTGCTGCAGCTCTCGAAAGCAGTAGAGGGAAGACGCGGTTTACATGTACTGTATGTGAGGTTCAGGCCAACACGGAATTTTACCGCCCCCCCCCACCCGCCACCCCGCATTCCAGAACATAAGCCTGGCAGCTTTAAATGCTCTCGGAAATGTTCAATGATTTCTAAGAGGATTTCACAGAATTCAGCAAGATTACCATTATGTGGCGAAATGAGGGCTGAGAGTGCGGTTGATAAATGTGTTCACTTTTCTTCTGGGGCGGGAGTTCTCTTCCTTGAAAATCCAGTCAATCTGCTGAAAGGCGTACACCCAGCCCGTGGCTCTCGGGGCTTTGCCAGGGAAGAACAGCAACAGACATTCTCGATTTTTTTTCTTTTTGGTAACTTTCCCCCTCTGTGTCCCTCCGTAATTGCTAGTAAGGTTAAGCAGGAACACATCAGAGTCTTTGATGTTTTGTGTTTTTTTTTTTTGTTTTTCCTGCAGCCGGGAATTCTGTGTTCTTGCTCAAGTCTGTTTCGTAGCATTGATTGAAGCGATGAGATGGTGCACATTCCATTTTGATTTCTAGAGACTACTAGAGGATTTCCTATTTGGTGTTCTAGAAAAAGCCCTCCCTGCTACTGCTGGATTCTTTGCCTGGCCCTTCTTGTAAACAGGTGGTGTTGATTGGACACTTGAAATTAAAAGTACTCGGTGCCACTCCCCTACCCCCTTGCACGCCAGCAATGTCAAGTGCAGGGGAGCCCTTGGACGTGGGTGATAGGCGTGGAAGCAAATTGTGCAGGTCTCCTCAGCAGTGTCCTCCCAAGCTGCAGCTTGTGCTTCTCCTGGGAATCCCCAGTTGGCCATAGTCCTGAGTGCATTGTCATGATGGTCTGAAAAGTCATTTGTCAACTGAGGTCACCTTGCCTTTTGAGATTCTAAAGAAATTGGCTTGAACCTTTATTCTACACCCTGTAGGAATGTCAATGGGAATTCCATGTTTTCATGGTTAATGTTGAGTAAAGAACTCTTGGTAATCTTTCTTCCCTTTGCTATTTTCTGTTCTCTCCGAGTTGGCAGGTAGCGCCTTTCCATAACTCTTTTCCACATGACTCACCCGGGACGTTTAGAATTTAGGGATGTTTTTGAGGGGTGGAGGTTGGCATCAGAGGAACTTAGAATCAAGTGTTCCAATCAAGCCTTAACCTCGTAACATGTACTCACCCATCCAGAGTGGTCCTCGCACAGCTCTCTCTGTAGATTGTGATAGCCACGTTGCCTGACTTCTCCTCTGTTCTTACAACTCTTCTCATTTCTCATTGTCTGCTTTCTGTTGTTGACTCATGTTCTTTAAAAACAGCAATTTTGCTTGCTTTTACTTCCTTCCATGCCAGGGTTGCAGGCAGCACCTGCCGGTTAAAATCTTCCTGTTTTCACTTAAGGGCATGTGCACAAACACCGTTTCTTTCTGCCTCTGTTCCTTCTCCACTGTGTGTAGCAGAAACTGAGTCTGCTTTGCCGAGAGACATGTATTAGTGTTCCAATTTGGGCTGAGCCGGCTGTAGTCCTTTGTTTTGTGTTACTCCCCTTTAATCCACTGGGTTGAGTCAAAGTGCAGAGCCCAAAATCCAGCATTTTCTTATGGATATACATTTTCTTGTACAAGGCTAACAGTCCTTTTAAATCTTGGACTAAAGGAACAGAAGCCTCCACCTCACCATGTTTTATTTATCGCTTCACAAGTGTTCCTTGTGAAGTCTAACACTTTATATAATCATTCATTAACCAAGTCTTCTATGAATTTTTCCCCTTTCCTCCAAAAAGCAAGGATATTGATAAAATGGTGAAGTGGTTTCTTTTCATTGCAGAAGTGGTTGAAAGGATTTGCCATGAGAGCCACCTGCAGCACATTCATTGCCTCATGTCCCTTTTTCATACCAGCGGCAGCCAGTGTGGCTGTCTGACAAGTAGAAGAGAAATATCAGACAATTTCTCATGTTGTTATCTGTTATAGCTTTCACAGTGATGTGCCTGACCTGGGATTACAGAAATTCTGAAAACAGGCACCAAGCTTGAAATGCCCCGTTATTGGTTATTGTGCTGTCATTTCCGAAACCTACATTGGATGTGTGAAATCTTAAATTTTCACCGTAGCAGGGGTTCCCAATTCCTGGGGTCTCCAAACACAAGGAGATGTCATCTGGGATCTAGCCATATTTAAGTTACGATTATTTTGGTTGTATGAAGCAGAAAGTCCAGACTTAACCAAGCACAACTGTTGAATCCTTGAGTATGTATGCTGCAGGAAAGGCTTGATTCCGCTTTCTCTCTTCCCTACTTTCTGTGGAGTGGAATTATCTTTAGAATAGCAATAACTGCTGACCTAAGCTTTACTTTGAATCTGTCAAGCAGGAGAAAGGCAGAAGGAATCTTGGAGCTCTGGTTTCCTGCACATACGCCCACCGTGTGGCTGAGGAGGTGGAATGTGTTACTTGGCATGTCCTAAGCAATGTGTGTCTGCTGTGGACATGGAACTGAGGTT